GGAGATGTGGTCAGCATGACCCTCTCTGTATTCCTGAACATGCTCCAGGACCAGGACATCGAAGCATTCAGCTCCACTGCCCTGAAGCTGGCTGATGCACTCCGGCCACTCTTTGATAACGTAAGGCTCTGGGTGCCTGCTGCTGCCTGGAAACTTTGTGTCCTGTGCATTTTCAGGCCTGTGCCTGTGCCTTCTGGGCCTGGAGCAGCCAGTGCTGAGGTCTTTTTCTCCTCTTTTGCAACAGGACAACATCCATGTGCAGCTGTTCTCCATTCGCCTTTTCCAAGAGGTGATGGAGTTGCTTGTGGAAGAGGGACCAAAGACCTTGAATACGCAGGTGCACCAGAGCCTGGTCCCCCTGTTCTTCCATCTGCACGATGAGAACCAGTGCGTGGCAGAGGTGAGCACTTGGGGGCTCTGGTGTCCCTGTGGCAGGGGGCTCAGCTGCCTCCTGCCCTGGTGCCTCGCAGGCTCCAGCCTCCTCCTGGTCTTGGCCCAGGGACACAGGTCCTGTGCCCTGGGCTGTGATGCCATGTCCCGTTCTCTGCTGCTCTGCAGGCCTCTCGGGAAACACTGCTTTGTGCTGCAAGTTTCCTCAAGAGGAGGGATCTCGAGCAGCTGCTGAGGAGGGAGCAGCCCATTAAGTTCTGCGATTACCTGGTAAGGACGACCCCCAAGGCCCAGCCCCAGGCTGGACAAGCCCCCAGCCCCAGATGCCCAGGGTGTGGGGTTGGCCCTGTGCCCCTGCCCACTGCTGCACACACCTGTGGGACACCAGCCTGCGCCTCACACGCTGCTGCCTTCCCTTGGCCCTGCAGGCTCTTCTCCAGGCTCCTCTGCCCCCAAGCCAGGGGGTGCTGGAGCCCCAGCCCAGCTGGGCTGTGGGGCAGGACAGCTCCATGGTTCCCAGGGAGCACGCAGCCCTCTGCTCCCTCCAAAGCCCAGCACCACCGGGCCACAGGGCTCTGTGGGCAGGGGAGGCCATTGCTGGGCTCAGGCAGCACCCAGACAAGGGGTAGAACCTCACCCAACCATTCCCTCTGTGCTCTGCTGCTCTCTCCAGATGGACAAGGACGTTAGCCGAAGGGATGAGCACCTGCGCCAGGCCCTGCCATATCTGCAGAGCCCACAGCAGCCCTTGAGAGAGGCAGCCGTCAGGTTCATGGGTGAGCCACAAACCCGCGGTCCCTCCCCATCCTGCTACAGCTCAGCTCCAGCCCCAGCTGCTGCAGCAGCAGCAGGATGCAGCCCAGGGATGTGCTCTGGAGTCCCAAGTGCCCTGGCAGCTGCTGCCTCCCTCTGCCAGCCGCCCCCTTGGGTGTCCTTATGCAGGAAGGTCCTGAGCTCAGCCCCGCCGAGCCAGGAGGCCATGTGGCCAGGCTGGCAGCAGTGCCTGGGGGGAGCTGTGCCACTGGGGCCCTGACACACTCTCTGTTCCCAGGGATCGCCGCCTGGCACATGCAAGACCTGCAGCCCGTCATGAAGGGTGAGTGAGGACAGCAGGGTGTCCCTGCAGGCTGGTGGGGAGGAGCACAGGCTCTGGGCATGGAGCTGCAATCCCTGCCCTGCCTGCACAGGGCTCTGCTCCGTGCATGGAGGAGGGGAGCTGCGGGCAGAGCAGTAACACATTTCAGGGGCACGGGGAGGATTGAGGGCCAGCACCTTCTGGCTCATCCTGCTGGGCCATGCTCCCTCCTGGCCATGGCAAGAGCTGGCTGGGATGGCCCTGGCAAGAGGGGCTCCTCGGCTCCCCACAGATCTGCGCTCTGACTGTGGCTCCCTTCCTCTCTCTTCCAGCCCTGGAAGTCATGACCGAAGATGACTGCTCCTCCTACTCCACCATGCAGACTGCAGTCTTGTCTGCTTTTCGACGGGCAGTAACTAAGTAATCTTCTCCACCAAGATAACCAATGTGCCTGGAACAGCACCGGACAACAGCAAAGACACCACTTCTCAGCGGTGCTGGGCTGGACCCAACTGAGCCTGACAGCAAGGCCAGGCAGCTCCTGGCCTCTCCATCCCTATGTACAGCTCCCTCCCTATGTACAGCTCCCTCCCTTCCTGCCTATTCCCTTCTCCTGCCCACAGTTCATCCCTCCCCTTCCCCTTAGGTTAAGAAGATTCATCCCTCCCCT